AATTACAAATGTGGAATTTATGGGAAATATTTTATTAAAATAAAATTTAGGAATATTTTTTTCTCTAATAGAAATATATTCTGAAAAGCCTTAATTTATAAAGATTGATAATTTAAAATTCGAATAGAATATCCTTCATTAATATTATACAGATCCCTCTTAGACTTTAGCCAGTCTTTTTTATGTCAATTCAGCTTAGAGTTTCATGATGTTGAATAATATCATATGTGTAAATAATTCTTTGACAAATTCTTCCTAGTCATTTTTTTCTTTATTTTTATCTGAAGTCTTGATAGAAAATTTTAAGGTTTAGAATCATAATTACATAGATAAGGAATTTTGGATTCAGTATTATGAAATTAATTTACAGGAGGATTATAACTAGAATGATATTTCTTATTTTATTTCGAATTCATTCAAAATTGAGACTATTGGAGGAGCTTTTTCAACAACAGTTACTAAACTTACTATTCTTAATGGAGAATTTAATTACATTATTGCATAAAGTAGCCAAATTTTTAATATCATTACATAAGGAGATGGAATAATAATTATAAAAAACTGTAGTATCACTCATGCTTATAATTCACTAATTTCTAAAGTTCAAAATGATGGTGCATTTACAATTAATGGCAAAAATAGTTTATTATCAATTAATCTTTAAAATGTGACTTTTATAGATGTTTAAAATAAATTATCATCATCCATTTTTTCAATATATCCTTCTTCTACTTAAAATAATATCCAATTCAAAAATGTAATAGCTTAAAATTGTTTTTCACTTGTTCATTAAATAATAAATTTTGAAGCTGTTTTCCGGAATGCTTAAAATAATAGAGTGAAAATTGACAATTTTACAATAATTTAGGATGAATAAGCTTTAATGAATTTTCTTTAATCTATTGGAAAAATAAATGTAATTGAGATGCAAAAAGTTTCTAGTGATAATGCAATCATGAAATTCTAAGGATGTGAATTAATTTTAAATAATATACAAATAGAAGGTATAGTTTTATCTTCAATAATAAAAGTATTAGATTCAAAATTGATTACATTAATGAATTGTAGATTTATTAATATATAAACATTTTATCCTTTGCATATAGTGGATATATAACAGAACAATATTTAGTAATCAAGTATATATTTTAATAACATCATAATCTAAAATTTAAATGATTTCATATTTAATAAATAGAATTTAAAGTATCTTGATTATAATTATATTGAATTAGAATTTATTTAATGCAGCTTATATGTTAATGAAGTAGTCTAAAAGATTCACAAAGAAGAGTTTGTATAAACCTTTTTTGATGATCTTGTTACTAATTCGATATAAAATGGATCTTTAATTAAGTTGAAGACTGCTACAAATCAAACTAGAGTATATTTCTCAAAAGTTCTATTATTAAATAATGACTGTTAAAATTGTTGGAATGGTTTGCTTTTTTTTGAATTGATTGATTTTCAATAGCTTCGAATATCAGAATTATTATGCATTTAGAATTCTATAAAAAACTATGGCTGTATATGGGCTAAATCAGGTATAAAAATTAACGGAATTTTATTGATTGACCATTCATCTTTCATTTCTAACAATGGAAGATCAGGATCAGGAATTTTTGTGTAAAATTTAAGACTAAAGTTATCAAATTCCAAAATTATCAATAATATTGCTTCTTACAGAGGAGGTGGATTCTATTTCGAAGAAGGTACTGATAGATTTACTATTCAAACTACAATAATAATTAATAATTCAGCTGAAGAAGCAGGTGGTATTTTTTTAAGTGGAAATAGTAGTTTAAATTATAATAATTTTATATAGTCTCTAGTTTTATTTAATTTTGCAAAATTAGCTTCAAATAATATTAATGAAATACCTAAGCACTTATGTTTATCAATAAATTAACTAGAAATGTAATAGTAAGAAAAAATAAGTGAAAATCGTACTTATTAAGTCCTAAAATTAAAACCATATAATATTATATCTTAAGATCATTAAATATAAACCAATTATTTATTTATTCCTAGTGGTTAATAAATATTGAAATTTTAACTTTATAATCCTAAGCATTTAAAATTTTAATCTTATATAACTGAATTCACAATAAAGTTTAAAAATAGTATGAATGAACAATAAATAAATTTTTTAAACTCCACTTGCAATGTACAATAATAAATTTTTGATATTAAATCTTAAAAGATAATTGAATCTATTACAATATCAACAATAGGTTTTAATCAATAAATTAAAAGCTTTAATTTAGGCTCATTATAATTTAATATAGATCCATACAAGCAGGAAGATAAAATATAGGAAATTTTAATATACTGTAAAACAGAATATCAAAAGGAGAGTTTAGCTTATAAAATGAGAGTTAACAGCTTTTTATGCCAATTAGGTGAATTTTATATTTTCTCTGGGTGCCAAAAATGCTAATCCGAATAAGGATTTTATTCAGTGACGTTTAATACAACGAAATGTTCTCTTTTTGATAAAAATAAATTTTAAGCCATTACATCTAATAAAATTTAATTAAAGCCTGGGTTTTGGAGACCAAGTTAGATTACTGATTATGTAGAATTATGCTATAAAGATCCAAATCATTGTTTAGGAGGATGGGTTGTTGGTGATGACCTTTGTTTTATGGGTCATATAGGAGGATTGTGTGAAGAATGTGATAAATATAATGTAAGAGGAGATGGGTAATTCTTTAAAAATTAGTAATAACTGGATTGTTAATAATGTGATTAACTTTCAAAAAGGTTGATAGCGTTTTTCTTAATATCAATATGGTAAATATAATTAATATTTGTAAGGGCTATTTTTTCTACACTTTTAACTATTAGAAGTGTTGAAAGAACAAATTAACTATATGTATAGTTAAAACTTAATTAATATTAAAAATTTGCTGAAATTTTATTCAAACTCCAACAAGGTATAATAAAATATTTATATTAGATCATGAAAGTATTTTACTTAAATTATTTCTTAATTATTTTTGGATTTTTTCACTCATCTTTACATTCAATATTAGTTTTTCAATATCTTTAAACATTGTTAAACCATCAAATGATACTTCTTATTTTATGGCTAATTTTTTCGAATGTTTATTGGCTGAAATTTAAGGAATAGAATTAATTTATAGTAGAATCTTAGTTATGTTTGGAATTATGGTCTGTTAGATATTGATTATTTTTATTGGATTTTAACTATTAGATATTCTAAAATTCTATAAATTTCAGAGTAGAATAATATCAATTACTATTTTATATTTGTATATATAAAATTATGCTTCATTAATAAATTAGTAAAAGTTATTAATATTTTAAGATTTTTTTCAATTCTGGCAATTAGAAGGATATCAGATTTAAATTACATACAAGGTGATGTTTCCTTAATTTATGGATCTTAGAGTCATATTTCTTGGATTTATGGATTTGTAATCCCTGGATCATTAATTATTGGATTAATTCTACCATTATCTTTACTTATCCTTCTGTACATAAACAAAGATTAGCATAACAAAATAAATTTTAGAAGACATATAGGATATTTATTTAATGAATATACTCAAAAGAACTATTTTTGGGAGATTATCAAGTTATGGAAGAAAACAATCATTATAATAATTCTAATATATTTTGAAACTGATATATTTTTGAAGGCATCATTATTAGGTCTTTGCTTATTGATTTATTCAGTCTTTACTTAAAATTATAAGCCTTATATTCTTCATAAGCTTAATTTATTAGATATCAAAAGTGCCCAGTTTTGTTAGATTGCAATATTTTTAGCATCTGTAAAATATATTTGTGAATAATAAGAGAAATAAAATATTTCATTTATTATACAAACTGTAATTATTTTAGATAGCATAATTTTGGGTTACCCATTTATAATTGATATTCTCAAAGTTTATTATTAAAAGTACAAGTTCCAAATTATGTAATTGCTATTAAAAGGATTTCAAACTTTGAGACCTAATTTTGTTGCGACAAGGTATCTTAAAAAACAATTAACTTTGTTGAGTTAGAAAGAAGAAAAGAGTAAAAGAAATATCAAAAAACTGAAATAAATCCTGTTCTCAAACAAATCAAAAAGCTATATGTAATATCTTTGATTTATTTTTAGACCAAAAAGTGGCTTATAAATATTTAATACAAACAGTGAAAAAAAAATATCAATTAAAACTGTAGAATGCTATCCAAAAAAAGCGATTTGATAGTTTATCATAAATTTAATTCAAAGAAAAAATATATTTTTAAATCATTAGTTAGTTTAGTTAAATATATATATTATATTAAGTTTTAAGTCTTGAAATAAGATACATAATTCTCTATGATTACTTAGGTGTTTATTTACATATTTAATTACTCTAGTTAAGCCATTATAAATAGAAATATTCAGATATTGTAGACGCATTCAGTTCTATAAAAGTATTACAAGTTTGATGATTTATAAAAAAAATACAATATATTGTTTTAGATATTATTTGATTTATTTCTTAATAGCCTTCTAGATTAAATCTAACTTCAAATCTGATTGGGCTAAAACTTCAAAGTCACTCCCATTCATTCCTGTACACATTTTGGTATATAATGGCAGTGAATTCTTGTTCTTCTAAATCATAGTTAATTACATATTTTACCTACAATGATTTCCCATTAGTGTTTATTTCCTGATTTAATTGCTATTTAGACTTTTACATAAAAATAATAATATACTTTAAAAAACTTATTCTATCAGAAAATTAGCTTTATATAATTTAATAATATTTATATTTAATTTGAAAATTTTCATATTATTTGCTTCTTTATTCTTTTTTAAATAATTAAATAATCTCAAAATTAAAATTAAATCATTAAGGATTAAACTTTCATCCAATAAATTAAAAAATTAATAATTAAAGATATATAATTTAATATCTAGAAATTTTGAAAAATTTATAATGTTAAATAAAAATAAAAATCTCTTTAAACTTATAATTGATTTATACTAGACATCATCAAATTTTGAAGGAGATGAATTCCTTAATTAATATATCAATGTATTTTGTCTGTTTTATTAAAAAAAATTATCATTTGATATAATCGAGCCATTTAAAATATAATTTTGTTCACATTTTAACACGAAATATTTTTTCTACTTAATTCTGCTTCTTTATTTTTTAAATTCACTTCCATTTATTATTTACTTTTTTCTATTTTGACAACAAAATGTATTTTATTATTTGTATAATAATATATGCATACACAATTAAGGTAATATAATCTTAAAATTAGGAGTAAATTTTAATTGTAATAGTCATGTGAATGCTTTTTAAAGTCTTTAGAAAATGATTTTATATATGCTGATACAGATTGTAATAAAAGAATGTGTAAAATAAAATATGATCAGCCTTAAGTATTTATTCACCTAAAAAATAATAGGATTCATTGAGTTTTATGATTAAATCATTGACATTGATTCAATTTCTATAGATTCTTATGATGAAAAAAGATATTAATTGTAAATAATGAATAAGAGGAAGCAATAATATGTATAAATATATTATAGCTCTTGATTCTTAAAAATATCTTGAATAAAAAATCAAGAAAACAAAAAATGTAGACTTAACATATAAATTAATAAAAAAATATACTGACTTTGAAAAAGGCTTGAATTCATAATTATATAAAATTTTTTAAAGAATTGAAATTGAAATAAAAGATTATTAACATTAGATAATTCCTATTTATATAAACATAGAATCATTTCATTAAGAATTATTTCTCTATTTGACTTGCTTAAATAATTTGAAAATAAATATTTAATATGAAATATATATCAGATATTTTTCTATGTATTTGTTTCCTTTAGACCGTTTTATCAAGAAATGATTAATGTAAGAAAATTGAATCAGTGGCAGGAGTTAATTTAATAGAAAAATTCCGAACTGACTATTTAATATAATCAGATGTAAGAATAGATGATGTTAATAATAATGAATTTTATAAACAAAAACAATTATTTGAAATAACTGAAAAGTTTCCTTTAAATATTGATGGACTTGGAGAAATATAGGATTATAAAATACGGATTGATTGGGAAAAACAAATTTTTAGATTTAGTTTATTGAATGTTAATGAAACATGTGTTTCAATATCTTAGAGTTAAAAATTTAATATTTATAGTATTGCTAATACTCTATTAGAATAACCTGAATTAAAAACATTTACAACAAATTTAATCAGGAATGCAAGTTTATGCAATCAATTTGATGAGAATAAGGCTTTTAATTACTATGTTTATTGCTTCTACGAAAACTCTTTGAATATTTACGCAATCAATTAGGAAAACGATGTAGAGTTATACCTTGAATACAATTTTACAAATTTAGGTGTTGATTCAAAAAAAAAGATTATTTTTATGAAATAACTTAATAAAATACTTTTTATAACCTACAATAAAGATAAATGTGAAATATATCAAATAGATAATGAAAAATAAGGTTAAATGATCCTTGAGATTAATAAAAATACTCATAATTATGAAGAAATTTTAATGATTCATTTTTATTAAGATAGATTTTTATAGATTTACTTTAATAATGAAACTATAATGTTTGATATATTTATGTAGAAACTTCAAATTCATAGCATATAATTTTAAAGTACAACAAATAAAATAGAAAGTAGTTACACTATAAAATTATCTAAAAATTAGTAAGAGAAATTTTTAATTTAAAATACTAAGAAGTACATAATTTTGAGTTGTGAACACGAAATTCCATAATTTTTAATTTATCAAAGCAAACTTATGTTAATCTATTCTAAAAATGTAGAAATAATAGAATTTGGCTTAATAAGGCAGTTGATTAATTTTTCAATCAAATAGATTTATTGTCTCTCTTCTAATTATTTAATTGGAATTGATAATACAGATAATATTTTTATTGTGAAACTTAATTTAATATCTCGTAATTATAGAGTTTCTTCATTAAATGAAACTCCTGTGATACTTTAACACTATAGAATTACTAAATTTAAATATTTTCTTTATTATGGTTGCTTTTAAGTTTATTTAATCACTTAAGAACAAAAAGAAATTTAAATAAAATAAAACAATAAAATTTTTTTAGAATAAAAACACTTTTTAACTTTAAATGCATAGAATAGAGATTTGTTTATATTTCATGAAATGATATTTCCTTAACAAGATTTTTATATTTAAACTATATAAAATCAAAAATTCTAAATTACAAATACAAAATCTTAAAATATCTTAATTAATAGATATATTGATTTATCATTATACTTTGTTTATGGCCCTTATGATACATATATTTAATGTTAAGATAACAAATTAATAACAATATATTATGAGAGTACAAATTAAGTTGAAAGGTATAATTTATCTTGTGATTCCTAAAATGGTAAAATTTATAACTTCAAGTAATCTAATCTATTTTGCGTTGTGACTCAAGATAATTATGGCATAAATATATTCTCCTTTAAATCTATTAATAAAGCTAATTATAAAGTTGAATATAAAGGACGAATGAATTTAACAAATTAGATAATTAATATTAGTTCTACAGGTAAATATCTAGTGGCTAATCATAAAAATTGCTCAATATCTTTATTTGATAAACAAATTAGATTTTTGGGTACAAAATCTCTCTTTATTGGTAAATATACAGATTTTTGTTAAATAGAGAGCTTTATAATTATAAATGACGAAAAATCAATAGTATTTTATCAACTTGATAAAATTGCAACCAAAAATTATTTGAATAATTCTATATTTAAAATATAAATCGATAGTTTTTTTTGTTTTGGATCAATAAATCGTTCAGACAAAACTATCTACATTTGTGTACATAAATATTAATAAATACTTTATACTTACGAATTAGAATATGATGAATTAATTTAGATATCTGAAATTACAATTATAAACTATTAAATTTATAGACCATTAGATTATTAAATAGATTAAAATTCTATTGTTATTGTATCTACTTAAAATGATTAATTATTTTTGTTATATTTCATATTATAAGATAATCTAATGCTAGAACTAAATAGAATAATAAAAATTTTTAATTTAAATTACAATCTAGAGGATAATTTATTATCATACTCTACTGAAAAGAATATAGAACATTTACCATTTTTATTGTATAAATTCCACATAAATGAATAAATCTCCAACTAATCGGAATCAATAAATTTGACAATTTTAGTTGACTTTGTTGAAAATTTTACTTAAATATTACATAATTTTACTTTGGAACTAAAAATTAATTAAATAATGAAATATCCTGAATTGATTGAAAATCATCCAAAAAAATTTGTTCCTCCTTTCAATAAATAATTAAACTTGAATGTAAATGAATTTATTTATGGCCCTATAGAAAATATATAATTATTAAATCAATACTATGTAGTTTTAATATAGCCTCATATTGTTTAATATTAATAAAAGATTTGCTAATTAACAATTTGTATATATAATGACGATTTTAAATATCTTATAATTTATGATGAATTAACATAAAGTTTATTTAATACAAGTCAATAAGTGGAAGCTTAAAAAATCTTAATAGCCTACTTAAATAAATAAAATATTTTGATTTTTGTATTAGAACAAGATGGTCTATTATAACTATATTATGATAATTAAAAACAAAATGAATATGAGATAAATGAAAAAATTGATAGTGTTGTTCTATAGGATTAATTATTACTTATTAAATCAAGTAGCCTTAAAGCAATTGTAAGACATGACAATTATTAATTTATTATAGAGAAATATGAATGTGATGATTTAGATCTTGGTTTAATACATTAATTTGAATAGAATAACTATTTAATTTTTATTAAAAGAAACGATAGTATACTATAATTAAACAGTACTGTTATAAGACATAGCAACTAATTAATTATTTCAACTATATTATATTAATTAAATAGTGATACTAATAATACTTGTTTTAGTGATATATTATCAATTAAAAATATAAATATATTAGGAGTATAATATAAAGATACTGAATAGACATATTCAATAAGGGTGATACTCTTTTCATAACATTTTTGTCATATTTGTATGTTCTAATTTTCTTAATAGAGTTTTATTCAATCATAATTAAATGGTGGGTTTATATATCCATTAGAGGAGCAATTTTTATTTATTGTTTTTAAAGACATAAATTATTTGATAGTGCAATTTATTAATGGATCTTGGCTCTATTAAATAAGTGACAATTATAGGTAGAATTACTATCCAGTGTTTTAATTTAATTCATCTTTCAATAATTTTAATTAATATGGTTTAATGAAAACTTATATCAACTAATTTAATCTTTTGGGAGAATATCAATTAGAATTTGATGAAAATAATCATAATATAACTTTGGAATTTTTAGCATTGTATAAGGAATATAAGATATATTTTAACGTCACTATAGAATATATTGAAACATAAAATAGCAATATAAAATTTAATCTTATTCTTTTTTTTATTATTCTTACTTTAGCTTTTATGTTTATGTTTCTTTTATATTATTATTGTTAGAAAAAGTGTTAAAATTTAAATTTTAAACAAAAAAACTTAAACCTTGAACTTAAATAGGCTTAGGTTGAAATGAGTTAGAATTTGGAATAAGAAAGCAGATTAAATCAAGAATAATGATTATTATAATATGATTTAAATAACAACTACTAATTTTTCTTGCACAATTTAAAATATATATTTATAAGAGTAAATTTAATTATCAAATTGAAAATATTGCAATATTTTAAAGGATATTGTCTTAATTACATTAATTAATACAAAATATAATAGTAGTTAAATATGGGTCTTATATTATTATATTAATATTAAACTTTGATTATAAACCTAAGAGTTTAATTTCATAATTTTTGTTAAAATAGTGATTAAAGTCATTAAAATATTATATTATACAATAATTTAGATTATATTAGTGATGGAATTATTTATACTAAATACTAATAATTTAATATTTAGTGATAAAATTCATATATAAAGTGATTTTGTTGCAACTTTTTGATTGATTTCTCTTGACAGACAAAGTTTTTAAGAACATAAGGCCATTCTCTCTAATTATAATTATTTAACCTTATTACCTAAATAAGAAAGTATTATATAATTCTAGGGAGGATAAGTTTGAATTAAAATTCTTTATTCAAGGAATAATTTAGATTATGAATATATATAAAAATTCTTAAGTAGAATCATATCATAAAATAATTATTAAACTTATTCAAAGAATTAAAAATTGTTAAACCACATTAAAGTGATGTTAATTACTGTTTTATTTATTAATCTAATGAAATTTAAAAATAAATGATGAATCCAATAATCAAGAATAAACACTCTACCAACATAATAAACTGACATTTTAATTAAAACTATTCAAATTTAAATTAGTAATTCTCCACAAACATTGTTTTGTTTAAAAGTTTCATCAGGATTATTCTTATAAATTAAGAGAATTAAATGATTTCTTTTGTTAATTAACTTTAAATTTAAGGTTTATTATGCAATTCTTATTTTAGTAAATATGAAAATAAATATAAAAAATTATATTCAAATATTTAATGATTATAATCTAAATAATAATATTTCATTTAATCTATTATAGAATCCATGTAATTCCATCCTCAAGTCCTTCCCTTGTAATAGCACAGCATGGTTAAATAAGAAAATTATTTGAAAATTTTTCGAACATCAGTTCAGAGTTTAATTCATTAAGATTAATTTAAACAAGATCGATCTTATTTACATAAATTAAAAGTGGCAATCTATTCAATTTATTATCAATTAAGTATTTTTCCAACCATTCTTTGATCTCTATCAATCTTTCTTAATTAGTCAAATCCAAAACTAAAATTAAAGCTTAGCTCTTTTCATAAAAGTTTCTCCAAAGCAATCTTAGTCCACTTGGTCCTTCAATATTCCAAGTAATTATATCAAAAGATTTGCTTTATAATTTTTTTTGTTGATATCCGATACCTGTAAAAAAGTTTTCTACCTTACCTAAATTCAATTGATTTAAAATTGTAGTCTTTCCAACAGCATCCAATCCAATTAATAATATTTAAGGTGTTTTTTTATAGATAAATTTTGAAAAAGGGTTTCCCATTAAATTAATTTAAAAAATGAGCAAAATTCATTTTTTATTTATAATAAATCCTGCTGTTTCCTACAAGGAATTAATATAATTATTAAAATTCTTATAATTATAATTCATTAAAATTTTATAAATATATTATAAGAGTGATAAATTAGAAATATTATCCTAGATCAATTTAAAATAATGGACCATTTCAAGCAATAATAACAAAAAAATATAAATTGAACTTAACTTGTTAGAAATTAATAGTATAATTTAATTAAACCTTAAAATTATAATTCAATTAATCAATCTATAATTTAAAAATCACCACAATCATATTTTAAAAATGATATAAAATAATGATTATCTATTGAATTTAATATATTTACAGAACTCTTAAAGCTATTAATATTTAAAAGAATATTGGTTCAAATTAAATAGCAATAATAACCAAAAGAAATATTTATTAAATCTTTTTAATGTATATTTATTTTTTCTATTTTGATACTCCGATTAAATAATTCTTAACAGAATTGAATTTATAATAAAAATAGCAAGCCTAATTTATAATTTAGAAATATAATACAATATAGGGCGCAATTTAACACCTAATTATCAAATGATTTCAAATAATTAAATTTTTTTAATTTAACTTATATTAACAAGATATTGTTTATTCTCTAATAAAAGCACAAGTTTCTACTGTTGAAAGTTTGAAATATATTCCAAATATAGTCTTGTTTTAATTAATTTATTTGAGACTGCAATTAATTTAGATATTCTATTATGAATACAGATTAAAATCCATTAAAAACCATGTACTAGAATTTCTAAACAGTCTTTTATATCAAAAACAAATAATTTAATTATTAT